TGTATTATACATTAGTTCCTCAATTTTTATTACATTATACAATTAAAAAAATACATTTTTTAAGTTTATGTTTTATATTTAGGAAAATAATTAGCAGATATAATTTTAATAATATTTATCAATGCAGAGAGAAGACAGGCTAAAACAATGACTATATATAAAAATAAAAGCACGAACTTTTTACAATCATTTTCTTATCATATCATGAATAAAAAAACAAGTATAAAATTGCAAAAAAATTAAAAATGTTTTTGAAACTATATTATTGAATAGTCAGGAAAGAGAGAATTCACGTTCTCAAGGCAATCTTGTCTAATGAAAAATAAACGGATAAGTAAAACAATATTCTCCGAAAAGCATGTAACATATGTTATTATCTCTGTAGAAAAGATGATCGATCCAGTAACTAATCGACAAACTTTCCTATTTCTTATGATTTTCTGCTTACCTAACACTAGGTAGAAATGTTGGGGAATTGCCTTGGCAATCTAAAATCTTGCACCTCATGGACACATAAGTCTTCGCAGCTGTTGTGGAATTTATCTTGATAACGTGTGATCGAGAAGCGCTGCTCTCTATTTAATATTCATACGCATTCTTCGTTGATCAGATTAATCGAACAAAAAACCGGATTTTTACTTGAACCTTGAAACTTGAAAACAAACGTTACAATCTTTGAAAGACTGAAGAAGACTGTTGGTTCTCCAGCAAACTTGCTGCTTTTACATAGTCACCAGCATTCCCCTTCTTTGTTCATCGATCGCCATCAGGTGGGGATATTATGGTTATTTGATGGACGTAAAACGATGAACACTCGATAGATATTTACATTTGTTTATTTAAATATTCTATTGTTCATATAAGCATATATTTTCGGTTAAAAGTGAACAATAAATTATTGATCTCTCGATTCACCGAAAATAATGTGGGAATATAAACATATTCACAAAACAAAATGAATCAATTCACATATGTATATTAAATTTATACAATTTTGTTGTATTGCAAATAGATGTAAATAAAAAGATATAAATAGATAATATAAGATTCTTTCAAGGAACAATTATAGTTTTTTATTGTGTCATTTTATTGATTCAGAATTATCGACTTTTTCTATCGATTCTCATCGAGTTCTTCAGTTGCTAACATCCATTATGACATGGCAAGTTAACTCATTTACATTAATAAGACATTTCATATATTCTCATTACATTCATTAATAATTCATAAAATCATTAAAAGAGCTTATAATATCTCTAGAAATTCTTGTTTAGTTTATAGCTTAATCTGCTTTTAAAAACAATTTTGTATTATATGACACAAAAGTTTAGTAGATTTGCTATAAATTATATGATCGTATAATAATTGTATTTATCTTTTGTTAGAATTTTAATAACACAAAAGAAAAAAAAGTAATAATTTAATCTTGTTACAAAATACGCTGGTTAATGGATAACAAAGTTAGACAAATTTTATTTTAAATAACGAATTACAAATAAAAACTAAAACTAGAAAATTTATTTGTAACAAATTTTTCGCAGTGAAATTGTTTGTTAGCAAATAAATCTTTGTTTCTAATTATATCAAAATTTGTTTAAATAAAATTTTATTTTTTGTTAGAATAGCAAATTTTTTAAGATATTAAATACATGTCATAAGTAAATTTATAAAGAATATTTCTCTCACTTCTTTTTCTCGATATTTACTAATAATTAATTTAAACAAAATTTTTTTTTGAAAAAAATTAATTTTTCAAAATTCTTGAATAACAAAGATATCCTTCTAAAAAACAATTTATTTTATTAAATTTAAAAAAAATTAATTTTTTTTAATTTAATAAAGTAAATTATTTTTAAACGGATATCTTAAATTGTTATTCATAAATAATTATTTTTATTTAAAACTGAATTTTTCTTTCAATTTTACATAAAGACAAATATATATAATTCTTTTTGTAAAACAAACTATATATGTGTTACCCATTTTTTATCATTTAATTATTCAAATATAGGAAAAAAGCAAAAAAAATTGTTTTTACAATATAAAAATTGTCATCTTTATTTATAGTTTAGTATTAAATTTTGTTTGCTATAATTATAAATTAAAAACAAATAAATTGTTAATTAAATTAAGCTGAATCAAGTTGAAACTGTGTCTTCTTATAGAATTAGGCATTATTGTATTTAAATAAAATTTTATTGAAAAATAAAATCGCGATTGGCAGCAATATAAAAAACAAGAAGCAACGTATCCGTAGTCAATGATCTAAAAACACGGGTGGAATCGCGTGACTGTGTTAAAAATACATTTTGACGCTTGCAATCCAAGCACGATCCTTAGAGACACATTCGCTTCCGTTTCTATACTTTTGCAAGAATGATTCACAGCATAAATATAAATTTTTACAAGATTATCCCCTCTTTTATTCTTTATTGTCATTTCTTTCAGAATTAACTTTCAGAATTTTTCAAAATTTTTTATCTCATTGAACACATGTACACCGTTCTTCAATATAATATAAAATAAAAAAAAATTAAGTCTTTCTTTTCTTTATTGTTGAATATGATAACAATAGCAAATTTCGATCAGAAGAACGTTATTAGTTTGCGAGAATCAGCTCAAATTAATTTCTTCGCAAAAGTGGATAAAATATTATTTATACTTATACAGCTAGTACGGATGTGTAAATTATGAGAAAAGTATTATCATTTTTCCAAAAACAAGGCCAATTATTTTTTTTAAAGAAACAGATATTTTATAAAGATCATGTCTGATTAAATTAATTTTATAATGAGGCATGAGCGCGATTATATTATAAAAAAATGTATCAACATATAGATTTTCTCTAAAACGACACATTCCTATTTCTTTGCGAATAAAGTTATACTTTATTAAAGCTATAATTAAAGCTTTAATAAAGTTATACTTTTGTTAATATAAAGATAATTCATTATTAGTTTACTCATTAAAGGCCTAATTTATGTATAATAATTTGTGCATTTATTGCTTGTTTTATATTGAATCGATTGATCAATTTTGAGATTTCGAAGTTCGAAAATTCATTTCTTCTGTAATTCTTAAATAAATTACATAAATATAGTGGTATTTTTTTATAATATATTATTTTATTTATTTGTAAATCCATTTTATTTTGAAAATTTTTTAACCGTAATTTTCATTTATATGTCAATTACGAGTGAATTCTTCAAATAACAATATATGTATATATACATATATAGGTAACGAAATGTAGTGTAAAATATGCATAAATACATAAAATATGTATCATACATATTGTATATTATATATATATATATATATATATATATGTATATATTATAAAAAATATATATAATATAATACATGTATATATTATAAAAATATATTTATATATTATAAGTAAATATTTTTCACAATTTCTATAATTTTCTAACTGCTACTTCTTTTTAAAATTAGTAAAAATAAAATTACACATACACAAAATCATGAATGTTTTTAGCGAAAAATAATGCGGATCAACAAAAGAAAACGCACTAAATCAGATTAAATCTGATATCGTGTAAAAATTTATTGCAGAACGATTCTGCACGTGTAATATAGTTTTTATTTTCACGACGAAGTAGTCGTATCAGCGCCGTGCCCATTGAGCAGAATAAATTATACTTGATGAGGGAAAATAAGAATCGGTGAGTGTAGCTTGTGTAGTTTATTAAGGTAAACTAGAATCTGATGCAATATCGACTCACCATGTCGTCAGGATTCACGTAGCATCGTAAAATTCTTCTCCGTCAAGTGTGTGACATTATTTACGCATGGAAAAGTTGGCGAAAGAAAGCGAATATATCGAATATCTCAAAATATATATGTATCGAATATATCGATTATATTGAAATACAAATGTCAAATTCAAGGAGCACATTCTCAGCAAGATTATTATTGAAAATAGTAAAGGAATGAAGTAAGATAATTAAAACTTGAAATCTTTATGATTTATCTTTTATAAATCTTAATCACTTATTGTTAATCTCTTTATCAAAATTTTAGCGCGGAATTAAAAATTAAAAATATATATATCTTAAATATGCATGATTAAACTTTAATTAAATTTTAGAATTTAATTTTTCTATAAAATTTTGATAAAACTAGTTATTATTATGATTTTCATATACATATATATATATATATATATAATAGATAGAAAACTGAATCTCCTCTCCCCTCACACACACACACACACGTGCACTTTGAATCACGTTATGAATTCTTCTAGTTTCTGAAATACTTTAAAGAAATTGCATATTTATTTCTGACTAGATTCAGTTTTTATACTGTGTATTATTTATACCTCTTTGTTGATATTTTTGTTATGTATGTTAGCTTTTTTGTCTTCATTCTTACACTACCATTAATAGATTTTATCTATTTCTACTATTATCTATTTCTTAAAAACAGGTTTCGACATGCAATTACAGAAGTTTTTGAGTGCAAGAAAAACTTATGTATTTCATTCTTTTACTTTATTATAAAGTAAAATAATAAAATACATCCTTTTTGAGTAAATTAAAACTATTTTCTTCTAATCCTGTATAATATTCGTTTCAAATAAAGTTGCACTTATGTTTAATTATATAATTATAATACTAAAACTACTAACATTTTTTAACATGACAGGTAAAAGTATTAAATATAATTTTGATAATTGAACTAATTACTTTTAGGATAAAGTTGATAATTGAACTAAAGATATTTAGGACACATTAAGTTTAAAAACAGTAAATTTTAAAATGATCCATTTCAAAAATAAAAAAAGAACATGTGATTCAAAATGCATGTAAGTTAGGATTCAATCCATCTATATATGAGAATTGAAGTGAGATGTAACTTTTATATTTCAACAAAAAATAATAATTAAAATAAAATCCATGTGATAACTTTACTTAACAATGTTACAAATGTTTTATAAAATCGAAATAGATCATTAGAAAATATTTTGTAATTGATTTCATTATAATTCAATCAATAATTCATTTAATCGTAATTATGCATAATATATACAAATAGAGAACATCATAATATATATATTTGTCTAACTAGCTGAAACACTACAACTATTTGCAGGAGTCAAATTGATTAAATTATTCGAATATTCAGCTAATTCGGTAACACTAATTCTACCACGTTGTCGTACAAATTTAGCAACAGATTGAAGTTCATCTTCTGATATATAAATAAATTTCCCTCTATCATCAATTACTCCAGTCAAATTACCATTTGCTTGCAATTCTTGAATTCTTTCTACCACACTAGGGGTCTTTAAACCAAAATGTGCAGCTAGATCTTCTAAGACTAGCACTTTGTTCTGCTTTATATATGTGAGAAATTCTTGCAACAAATTTTCTTCGTGCTCTTTGTCTTCTTGTTCATAACCTTCTTCTTCGATGTTAAAGGCTTCTTTCATCTTTAAGTATTCCTCATATTCCTTTTTTTCTTTCTCTTCTCTAGCTTTCTTTTCTGCTTCCTCTATTCGCAGTTCCTCCGCACGTTCTTTCTCAGCCTGTTTGTCCCTCTCTTCTTGCAAAAGTTGTTCTCGTTTTTACGCTCTTCTCTATCTCGTTCAGCTGCCTCTCTCTGTAGCTTTTTTTCAGCTTTAGCTGCTAGCTTTGCCCGTTTTTTCGCTCCTACTTTATGATCTGGTAATTCTATTTTGTCATCTGCATCATCATTATCTTCATCGACTTGTCTGTTATCTTCTTCATATGATTGGTGATTAGCATTTCCTTGCATACGATGTCTAACATTTCTAACACCAGCTGCTCTTCTTATCGGCCGACCTTGTACTGCAGCATTTTGAGCATTTACAGGTGTTTTCTGGACATCTAGAAAGTAAAACTGGTTAGTTTATTGATTAACATATGGTAATCATTTTTCTTTAACAAATAAGATCTCAAATTGTTGAAGCGACTTAAGTCAATGTACTCTGATTAATTTTTCGTGAAAAATGTATCATCGATTTGATATAAACTGACAATTAATCAACTATAAAAAATAAAAAAAAAATAATTTCAAGATTAGTCTGAGGTTAAAAGTGACAGAAGTATGTATTACAAGAAAAGCGTAATTTTATACATAAGCATAAAGCAATTTTTGACATTTAAACTTAAACTGATAATTAATCAACTATAAAAAAATATTTAAAAAAATAATTTCAAGATCAGTCTGAGGTTAAAAGTGACAGAAGTATGTATTACAAGGAAAGCGTAATTTTATACATAAGCATAAAGCAATTTTTCATATTTAAACAAAGCTATCGCTAAATAACGTACTTTCGGATCTACGTTGTAGGAAAACGATGCATATGATAATTAATAAAACGATCGTCGATGAAATGAATATCAACAGATTCACATCCATTTTTGCTCAACAGCCGACAGGTTATAATTCCGAATTCCGACAGGTGACTCGATAGCGAAGATCGACAAATCGCGCCGTCGAGAGTATCGATAATCGAAGTTGGTGCCGCCACTATCGATATCTATCAATGTCCGCCTATTTGTTGTCACCTTATCTCTCTGACGAAAGGTGACGTGTATTCCGTCTGTTATGCGTACGAACATTTATTCGTGATTTAATACTGTCATTCTGTCATTGATTCTACATTGCGCGAAACATGTTAAAATACGGGAGTATCTTCGTTATTTTTTTATGCATTCTTAAATTCGGAACCGGTTTGTATTTCCACATTGGCGAGACGGAGCGAAAATGCTTCATCGAGGAGATTCCCGATGATACTACTGTCTTAGGTGAAGTTCAATGCTAACAAAATAAACACTTTGCTATATATTATAATTTTGCAGTGTCATAAAATAGGATTCTTTGGCAAGAATCTCATTTCACTCCATTACCACATGTATGAATATATGTAAATTATATTGCATAATGCAGGTGGTCTCCTTCGAATGCTTAATTACCTTCCAGGAATATTAAAAATTTGAAGTGATTACCTCACTGTAAAGTTTCATTTTATTTTATTCTGTCTTTGCAGTCAATTACAAAGTGGAACTTTATGATCCAAGAAGCGGGGGTTTTATGCCGAGTAGTCCTGGCATTGGTATGCATGTCGAAGTAAAAGATCCTGACGACAAGCCTATTCTCTCAAGAGTTTACAGTTCAGAGGGTCGAATTTCCTTCACTTCGCACACACCAGGAGAACATGTCATTTGCTTATATTCGAACAGTACCTCATGGTTCAGCGGTACTCAATTGGTAAAGCATATATATATTTATTATTAAACTGAATTGAAATGTAAAATATGAAAAATGAGACAAAAAGTAGATCACAAATTGAACAATATAATTTAACTATCTTTATTTGCAGAGAGTACATCTGGATATTCAAGTAGGAGAACACGCAATTGATTATGCCAATGTGGCACAGAAGGAAAAGTTATCAGAGCTTCAATTAAGAATACGTCAACTTTTGGATCAAGTTGGACAAATAACTAAAGAACAAAATTATCAAAGGGTATGAAACAAATTGCATAATTTCCATATAAAGCAATGTTGTATAACATAAAAGAAATTAAGAATTATTATAAATGTATTTATATTTTTTTTAGTATCGGGAAGAGCGCTTTAGGCAAACCTCAGAAAGCACTCATCGTCGTGTATTTTGGTGGTCTTTGACTCAAACGGTAGTTGTCCTAATTATGGGCGCGTGGCAAATGAGGCATCTGAAGAGCTTTTTTGAAGCAAAGAAACTAGTTTAATTGTTGCAGCAAAACATTAAACTTATCAACAAGAATATCATTTGTGTTGTTTGTAGCTTCAGACAATTTCCATCAACATTTTTTCAGAAGACCTCTTATCCACATTACATTTACATAAAATTGTTGGTTATTTCCTGCAATTGAACTTGTGATTATCTAATTGTGTAATATGTAATAAATTATAATATATAAAATATATCTTACATAAGATATATTTTATTTATTCTTTCTTTGTCTTTTTATAGAATTTTAATTTTTTTCAAAGTTCTATATTAAATATCCATATAAACTATGCGAAATAAATTAATTACATATATAAAATTAATTAAATAAAATTTATTATATATATTTTTTAATATAAAATAATTAGTTATATATGTATATTGTAGTTTTTTATAGTAGAACTTTTGCAAATATTTAGCTATGTTGCTTATTGACATGTCCTGAGTATTTACCAAAGTCTTGAGATTTAAAAATATTTTCATGCGTAAAATGACAAAAATTTATATATTTACTGAGCCTTTAAAAAGGGGAACTTAGAACATTATTATTCATCATTACATAATAATTATAAATATAATTAATAATACTAATAATTATTATTATTTGTAATTATATATTATTTATTATATTAATTATTCATTATTTATTTATTTATCCATTATGTATTTCATGTTAGAAAAGGATAAGAAGAATGGATTTTCTTCCCCCTCTTTATCAGGGATTCGCTGATTGGTTGATGCCATTCTAATATCATGGGCAAAAACATTCACGTGATTCACGTCACGGCAGTTAGCACGTGTAGTACGTTATGAATTGGAAAAAAAGTATTTACTCTTTTACATCATAACTATTTCCAAATTTTTTATTTAAATAAATAAAACATTTCCTGGAAAGTTGCGTATCGCTTTTATTGCTAAATATTTAAATATATAAAATATAAATGTTGCACGTGTATGTATACATACAGTGTTTTCTTGTGATAAAATTGCGTACATTATTGTCAATTGTTTTCGGATAATAATTGTTAAAGAAAATGCTGCAATGCGCAGTTTGCGGTTGCACCGAATTCTATAAAGCATCTGGTTATTCCTTTTGCTCAACATGTCAAACGCAAAATGAGGTAAACTCAAAAAAAATATGTATTGAAAAGAAATAATAATTTCTTTTATTATATATATATATATATATATATATATATATATATATGTATTAGATAAATATTATTGATATATGCAATTTATTTAGGATGCCGGAGAAGAGTTAGAGCTGGAACTGCCTATGGAAAGTAATACAAGATTGCGGAGAACAAAAATCCGTTATGTGAAACATAACAAAATAGGTTTATTTTTTTTCATTTTCTAAAGGAATTATTCATATAATAAATTATGTACAGTAGACTGTGTAATGAATCAAGTAAATTTTGATTATTATATTATTGATGAAGTGTAAATTTGATATTTTTTTATATGTAGATGAGGAAGTTGGATGGACATCATGGGAGTTGTATAATTTTGTCTTAATTGGTTTGACAAATGAGCTTATCGAACTTGGTGTATCAGCTGACATAAAATTAACAGTGTTACAATTGTGGGCACGATACCTAGGGAAACTGGAAATTGCTTTCATATCTACAAACAAGAAACTAGTACCAAAACTAGCTAGGAGATATAAGAAAAGGTTATTATAAAGTTTATTCTATGTATTTATATTTAGTTTTCTTGTTTCATTACAAACAAAAAAGAATTTATATTTTTGAATTATTTTATATATATTGTGTTTGAACACTTAAAATCTTTGAAAGAGAGATAATTTAAAGAGTTTAATGTTGAGAATAGTAAATTATAATGCAATTTTTTATAGGGATGCTGACATTATATATGGCAAGGTTTTGTCACAAAAGAGAGTTAAGAAACAGAGAAAACTGAAGAAAGTAATGTGACAGATTCTGCGATTTCTACTTATTTAAGCGAAGAAACTTCCTTAAAAGAATTAAATAGAAATAAGGTATGATTTGACAAATATATTTGATCTGTAAAAATCTAGTTTATAAATTATAAATGTAATGTTTTCTCTACAGAAACTTATGATCACTGCAGATTACGATAGATTTATGCAGTCACAAATGAGTTCAGAAGGAGATACGCTAAGTACATTTAACCAAAGTGTATATAGTATGCAGTCTAGTACACACACACAACACACAAGACAATCTTCTGTAAATGAAAGGTAAATAGAAATATGAATATAAGCATAAAAGAATTGAAATATACATTATTATGAATACATTCTCTATTTTTCAATATATATATATAAATATATATTTCTCTCTTACAGAATAAAATTTAATTCTACTGCTAAGAAGGAGACAAGAAAGATAAAAGATATGGCAAAGAAAATACCAAGACACAAACGCAAAAACTATAAGCAAAAGCATATAACAACTCAATATAAAACAGGACCAGAATTAATTACACCCATGAAATTGTGGGCAATCTTATATTTGGCTCTAAGGATTCATGATCAGAATATACATTTAGGTGACATGTTAAGGTAGAGTTTGTGAATATTTTATTTAGTCTTCAACCTTTTTTTCAAAATAATATAAAACTTGTTAATACATTATTGTGCTTGCATTATTGTAAAAGTAAATATTTCTTTTATTAATATTATAATTTTTCAGTAGTTTGTCTTATTGTATGTCCATATTTATCTCATATTTTTATCATTATTAGCGTCTTTCAACATTTTATTTTTGCAGATATGGTAGAGAAGGACATTTATCTTATTACAAATTGGATCGATTGATACCCCCTGAAATAACTTTAACAAAAACTGATGTAAATTTCTTATCACGAGCTGCGGAGATAACGCATAAAGGAATGAGAAGGATAGTTGGAAGAATGGCGAAATTTCTTGGAGTCACGAAACTAATTTGTCCTGATTTCTTACCACTTATCAATCGATATTGCAATGAATTGAATTTACCAAGTATGTGCACTATGTAAATCTAAATCTTAATCTTATAATTTTATGTGCATACATATATACAATTTATACAAAAATATTATATTTTCAGGAGGTATATCGTTATACACGGAAAGATTAATAGCTTTATCCCCACCAGAAATGAAGTTTGATAAAAAGTCCTGCATTCCCAATTATGAAGCTCGAGCTATGGCATTTATTATTGTAATATTGAAAACCTTATTGAATCTAGATGGTATTACAGAATATGAAATCAGTAATGTTGCTGACAAGATTAATAGGTATGTATCAAATTGAATTTTGCATAATTTAAATAATATAAAGTAATAATATAAAGTATAGTGAGAAGGAAATAGAGAGAATATTTTCAGATTTTTTACATTATATTATAATATTATTTCATTTATTTGATATGTACAGTCGACATATAAATTAAAGAAAAAATGAATAAGAGGGAATAAATCATTGTAACAGTTGAATACATACATATGTATGTGTAGTAACATGTGTATTGAATGTAGTCGATTATATTTATCTTGAAATGTGTTAAATTTGGAAAAATGTTATGTAGATTTAAAAATTATTTCACAGATATTGAAATATTTTGACAACTATTTTAAATTTAAAATAATATGAATTAAAAATAATGCAATATCAATACGGAAATTTTAATGCTCCATGTATATTAATACATGGTAGCATTGGAAATTTTGATGATAAGCTCATCGTTGAAAAAATGACAAGTTGTAAAAAAGCAGCATCTACTGGATATCAAAGTTTATTAAATGGTGCAAGTTCTATAGAAGCTGTAGAGACTGCATTGTGGTGGTTAGAATGTGATGAAATCTTTAATTGTGGTTATGGGTCGGTTTTAAATAATATAGGTATATAAATATAAAAATAGTTATGTTCCCGAATACAACCAAATAACACTCTAACACACTACATTATATTTGATTATTAGGAAACGTACAAATGGATGCATGCATAATAGATGGCTTTAAGTTAGAATGTGGATCTGTGGCAGCAGTGTCAGATATAGAGCATCCGATATCACTCGCTAGATATGTTTTGCATAATTTTCCAAACTCTATTATAGTAGGAGAAGGTGCAAAAAAATTAGTAGAATGTGCAAAATTAAATTTGTTATCTAAAGGAAATATGATTGCACCCGCACCATATTTAGCTCATAAATTGGAAGAAACTGGCAGTTGTGATATTGATCTGGATATTGGAGATCATTGTTATGCGAAATTATTAGAAAGTAAATTGTGCATACATTATTTATAAGAGAAAAAAAAATTATTTTTATTTTTGTTAATTTTATAAGAGAAGTCTTATAGATGATTTTGATAGAATTTTCACGCACACAGATTATGGGGGCACTATTGGCTGCATAGCTTATGATGGATATGCTATTGCTGCAGGAACTACAAGTGGTGGTTTAAATAGAAAATTAATAGGCAGTGTAGGCGAGTCTTCTATACTGGGTTACAGCGCGTATGCTAATAGAAATGTAGGATGTTCATTAACAAGTCATAGAGAATCTATTACAAAATTTGGTTTATCAAGGGTCATTGTAAGCGATATTGAAAGAGGATATTCTCCATGGAAAGCTTTGAAAAGAAATCTCGAGTGCACGAACGATTATACATCAACTAAATATAATTATATTGTCGGTGGAATTGTATTTAAAAAATGTGGTGAATGGAGCGTATATTTTGCCTCTCATAAAATGCCTTATGTCGTAATTATGAACAATTGCATGACATTCGGTACAACTTTAAATGACAAAAAGATAGAAAAATACAGTGAATATCAAAAACGTCTTTCATATGATTGCAGATTCCCTCTTGTAAATAATTTTACATCGGAATATATATTATTCTTTCTCCAATTATTTAAATTTGCTATGTCTTTTTTTCATTAATTTAATATTTTTTTTCAGTGCCATTAATGATGAAGGTATTAGTGATACAAAGCTATTTAGTTTTCGAGAATGGCAAAAATATATTGAATGTAGAAAAGCTGTCTTAGCTAATGCACACTATCCTACCAAGTTAAAATATAGTCCTCATATACCAGATGTAAATGGTTTATATGTCAAATTTTTGGAGACCATTGAGTCCAAAATAGACAGAGAAGAACCTGAAATAACTACATATAAACATCTAATACCACGTGAACTTGTTAATGCAATGAAACAATGTATGACTAATATAAATTATGCTAATTTACCAATAGATGAGGTAAACGAATTTCCTCCTTCACTAACGGCACATCACTCGTATCTTCAACAATTATTAGAACATCCATTATATGATCTGCCAAGTATACTTCGAAATGATTTTTTTTCTACAAAAATTGGATACATGACAAAACTAGAATTGTAAGTGTTGTATCAAAAATTGTAGCTTATTTATAAAATGTTATACAAATATAATATATTGCATTTTTTCATTTTAGCATCTGCAAATTGATTTCGCATTACAATATACAATTAAATTTTATTGATTCAAATTTGCATTTCATTGAGAAGACCGTACCACTTTTTGAACAAACAAAAATGGCTAGTATACAAGATTTGAAGAATAATACAGAAATACAGGACTTTTTGGAGAATGATATTGAGAAAAAAGAAAATATTATCGATTATTTACATAAAAAAATGTCTTGTCATCTTAAAATCGATTTAAGGAAAAGATATTATTATGACAACATTCGAAATGCAGTTATAAAGGATGACCCATTAGTATCATCAAATGAATTTATATTTAACGAGACTCTCCCGAATGGAAAATTGTCAATCCCAGACATCAATGATGAAAATATGGAAGAGGAAGATGATGATGAAAATGATACATGTTTAAAAAATGTTGTTCCTGAAGAAACAGCATTATTATTGTCCAAATTCTGTAAAGAATACGATATAAATCTTTCAACTATAGAAAAAAAAGCTATATTTAAAGATTTAAGAAATAAAACACAAAAGAAGCAACTTTTTAGAAATGCACATGGTAAATTTGTGAAGCAAAGTGATATCGACAATTCAAATAAAGATTCTTGTACAGAAGAATCTGAAAGTATTTCAAAAGAAACTTTCGAAATAAAAAATATACTACCAAATATTTCCGATATTTTGAATGTAAATACTAACGCATCTATTTTTGATGATCTCATGAAAAATGAAACTGGATATGATGCGTTTAATCAGTTGGAGAATAATTGTAAAGAATCAGTAATTGATGATACTATTTTTACATTAGATGAAATTTTTAATGATAACATTCTCCGATTGTTCAGACCTTTTAAAGATTATTGGATGTACCATTGCAACTTTAGCCGTGTGAAACCGAAGAATTTTGAATTATTTGAAAAAATGCTGCCAAGAAGTTTTCGATGGTTACTAAATGAATGTGCAAGCATCATTGAAATGTCAGTGGAAGACCTTTATGAAGAAGTATGTCTTGTTGAAGCTTATTATGCTCATTTCTCAGAGCAATCCGATGCATCAAATGAAAATGCTGAAAATAACAACAAAGCTTATATTAACGCAATTTTAAAAAAATGGTAAAATGGAATAATGAAAAATATCAATTCACCTGATACTGTGATATTATAATTATACATATCTATATGAAAATATTATAATATTTTTCGAAGTATATGTAGGGTGTAATTGAAAGATTTGTATAAACTTTGAGTGTAAGTTTTACATCAGAAAAATTAAAAAAGATATCTATAAAGATTCTAAAAGGCTCAATTATAAAGATACAGCTCTTCAAAGTTAGTAAAAAGAACCATTAAAATAGTCTCCACATTTAAGATTTAATATACATTTAGTATATTTATAAATTTACTAAAATTTTTTACGTGCTATAAAAATATATCTAAAACAACTTATTCAGTTCTCGTTAATAACATAAATAGTCTTTAATAACGAATTTATGACAGTTGTAAATTTTAACAATGCATCCTTGACATCTTTATGTGTGATAATCAATGTGTAAATATGCAAAAGCTGTAAATTCTCAAGATTACTCTAAAAATCTGATTAAAAATTTAAAGCTGTTATTATATTTGTGTTAATGATAAAAAGTTATACAATTTTCTATTTCTAAATAATTGTCATCCTTATAATGAAGCTTTTCTGAATCTTTCTTTATATAATCTTTTTTATTATTTTAGTGTGTAGAATTTACATTCACTAAGTTTTTTTAAAGCTCTTTCGGTTACATTTCTGCATATATGTATGGTATTACATTAGCATTATATTAAAAACGTGTTATGCAAAAATATTTAAGAATCGAAAATATTCTTCCTCAAAAATAAAAAAATGCTAATTTATAATAATATTTTACGAGTATTTATTTAATGTGTTATTTAATCAAAATGAATAATTTTACCAATGACTAGTATTTAATATATAAATTATATTTTAAAATATTTATTGTAAGGGATTTTATGATATTTAAAAATAATTATATATTTATTATAAATAACAAAATTAATATACCTATTGATGAATGAGAAAATAATTATAAATATATATTATTTATGTTGTATATGAAATAATTGCGATTTATATGTTTGCAACATATTTAAATATTAATAATTAAGTTTTCTACATATATGAGCATTATATTTAAAGAGATATACATAAAAAATTAGTAATTTTTCATTAATTTCAGCTTTTTTAATGAAGTAATTACCTAAACGGTATATCAAATTATAACTTGTATTATATATATATATATATATATATATATATATATATATATATATATATATATATATATATGTATATATACTATAAAATTATATAATTTTATATATCTTTTAGGTAGTAGTTCATTGAAAAAAATATATCTATAATGTGTATTGTATATAATTTTAAATATTTTGCTATTTTAAATAAGTAATTTTATTACATTTCTATGTAAATCTTAATAATTAATGTTGATTAATTATAACTTTTATATTGCAGCTCATACGTACAACTTTTTTTATGAAATAATATAGTTAAATATATGTAAAGGATATGGCATATATAATTTCTGTTGCAATCTTTGATTATAAATATTGAATCTCTCTTCATGCACAGGCAAGAATCTGTATTCATCATAATTGCAAAAAAAAAACAAGTATATCATGTATATCGTATCCGTTCTGATCTGACACGCGCCAGTATCAAGGAAATATATAGCATCTCGATCAATCTCGGTCGAGTGCAACTATCAGCAGCTATTGCCCTCGGTGAGGGCAACCGCGTCTCGTTTCATCGTACACACACGAGTATATAGGGTGTCTCAAGCTTACCATACTATACGTTTATGAGAGACTCAGTTTAAGGTTTTATTTGGAGACGATTTTTTCTCAGCGAAAATGTCGAGGAAAGTCATCATTTTTTTAATGTTCTCAATTTTTGAAATCGTGTATCTTAATGTAACTAAGCCTTAAATTACAATTCTATTAAAATAAACTTTACCTGAAATTAACTAAAAAATGTAATTTTGTTAATCATTTATTTTCACGAGGAAAATGTCGAGGAAAGTCATCATTTTTTAAATGTTCCTAATTTTTGAAATCATGTATCTTTGTAACTAGACCTTAAATTAAAATTCTATTTAAATAAACTTTACCTCAAATTAAAAAAACTGAAAAATGTAATTTTGTTAATAATTAATTTTCACAAGGCTTAGTTTACAAAAAAGCTTTTATTTTCAATCGTTTATAACTCGAAAATTATTGGACATTTTCGCAGAGAAAAAATTTGCAAATCGCTTGAAAAGTGGTAGAATAAGTCTGGGACACCCTGTATAAATTTACGGAAGGCGACGCGACCGGGCTCGCTCGGCTCGGTTCGGCTAATCTCGGGCGCGCTCGGCGCGAGCGAGTGTATTGTACGTACAGCGAAGTGCTCAGTAGTAAACACGAGTTCGTGTGAGACGAATGGTGTCGCGCTGTCGCGACGACATACCCGGCACGTCCTGCACGTAGTAAAGGAACGCTGTCGCACGCGCGTGTGTATATGTGTAGATGTGTGCGTGCGTGCACATATCCTTCTGAAGTCACCTGCGATTGGCGCAAACCGGCAGTGGTGCAACTGCGAGAAGACGCGGTTTACCCTCGTGCTATCGTCGAGCCGACACGTTTCACCAGTTGCGGCGAGACGTCGGTGACGCTTCGTCGAACGTCATCGTCCTGCAGGAGAAAGAAGGTCCTACGAGCGTGCACGACGAGGTACAGGACTCGCTAGTTTGACGGATAAGTCTCTCCTGCAAGGTGAGTTCTCTATTCGGAAGTTGTTCGGGTTTATCGCGACGGCGAGATATGCCGTTCAACCCGTATATATGTATATATATTTTTTTTTATGTACTTTTCCTGCCCTACCTATGTTAGGAAGGAAGAAACGCAATCTCCCGCCAATTTGTAATGTCTATTACTGTAACAAAGACAGATAATGCGCAATTGTGACCTTTGACTCTTTATGGCACACGAAATATCAATAGCCTTCCCCTCCGAAATAGTGTTTCAAGAAGCTTCTCCAAATTGAATAAATCAAATGTCAAGTACTCTTCCAAGTACTGCGAAAAATATATCAACAGAGAGAGAGAGAGAGAGAGAGAGCGGAATAACTTTCGCTCTCGAAAAAGAGCGTTTTTAATTGCTGCTTTAATAGCGCGATTAAAGATCCTGGATTCGCGTCATCTCGATTTCGCGTGTGTCGACAGAGGATGGCGCGAAAACATTCACACATGAATTCGGTTCCCCTTGTGTCCTTCCGGTATATGCACGGCGTGTCTTTTCCCTTGCACCTGCTGCACTTGGATTCCGAGAGGGCATTTATGAAAACGTAAAAATATATTGTATAAGTTTATTATTTTTTTTTACTATCGGGAAATAGGCTATTATTATTTTTTTTCCGTAAAATTTTATATGTACCATTAAACATTTCTTATACTGTCTCATTTATGCCATGATTATTGCGATTTATCGATAATTTTTGAAGAGAATAATTAGAAATTATTAGAAAATAAATAGAAATATATAAAAGATATAGAAATAAATATATAATTAGAAATATTAATAATTAGAAAAAGAGAATTTTCTATTAAATTTTTTGATAAATTGAGAAACATGTACGTATGATGATATCTTTTTGAGAAAAAAATTTTTAATTTTGCGTGGCAATAAATTAATTTTGTAAAAAAATGCTGTCTGCATTTAACGCGAATTTAGTTGGATGAAACGTCAGTTATCTATCGTGACATCGTGATACGCAACGTGATGACAAATTGCGCGGTCCAATTCGATAGCCCAACACCATATTCGATGTATCTCTCGTTGCATAAATGATAGCTGAAATCAGATATGCGAGGGGGAGAGAAATAAAGTGGTAGTATGCCAGTCGTAACAAAAATCAGAAATTATATTGTACCTAATAAAAAATCGTTTAATAATATTTGAACGAAATGTTATTTGCTCGATCTGGACTAAATTGCATATATTCCGATAAATTGAAAAAAAGTATACGTCAAATCTATGAAAATTGCGTATACATACCGTAATAATTTAAAATCTATAATAATACCTAATTAATAATAATGATAGGTAATTACCGAGGGTCAGCATGACGCAAGCACCTATTGCTACCTCGTAAATTAACTTAATATAATAATAATTTTTTAATAAAGTAATTTAAAACCTATATAACTGTTGTGAATGAACGAAATGTTTTCTCTAATCAAAGAGCTAGAGGAAATTAAAATAAATGTTAAAAAACATAAAAGAAGAGAGTAAAAAACAATTTTATAAGATATATTTATTACTTTGTGCACGTGCGATGAAATAAATCGAATATACACATCATACATACATAAAAATAGTAATTTTATCTATATTTTACGCATATTTTACATTAATATGTATTTTTTCTTAAAAAAATATGGAAAAAATATTACAGTGATAATGAAGTAATTTTTCCAGTTTTAAACAAGTAATTTCCATCTAAAAATACATGGATTTTTTTCAGTGTATTTTTCCGTAATATAAATTGTAATCGAATAGTTCGGGATTCTATTAAAAAGCATGCAAAATAAGTATATACCTGCTGCATTATGATGAATACAATTGTCAAAATGATAGTTAATTACCGAGGGTCAGCATGACGCAAGCACCTATTGCTACCTCGTAAATAATCCCTTCCGGTTACGTCTTCATCATTTGCTTGCCGAAGACGTCCTTGCACAGATAGAAACGGTATCGCTCTGAATACGCGTATGCGATGATTGTAACACGAGCTATACAGGCGAGCTGCGTATATTTGACACTTCATTGTTATCAATTAACTAGCGAAAGTTTCTTATTGTCGATAGACGAAGGGAAATAATCTATTTCATTCAGACGTAGTAGGGATCATTGATTTGGGCAAAAATAACTCTCCCTCTCTCTCTTTTTTTTCTTATATAGATTATGATATAGCTTGATTGCCTTTTCATTTTACTTAAGGACCATTCACTTAAACCTTCGTGGATGGAATATTTTTTGTATAGCATCTCTGCCCTAAAAAACTGGAAAAATACAATTTACACAATTAAGGCAAAAGTAATTAATTACGTACATAAATATTTTTTTTTATTATGATATTTCTATACGGTTTTCTGAAAGTATGTATTCTTTTCTGATTGATATGCGCATATAATGCGAAATACAAAGACAACTAGACAAGTTACATTTCATTAACAGTGTCAATTTTCAATTAAAATGAATCGAAACATGAAATTCGTCGTAATCATATTAATGCCTAATTAATTAACTCTAATTTAAAGTCGATTCTGTAGATCATGCCGTATATTGTTGAATTTCGAAATATCACACGAAATTGTCATAATGAATTATCGTCGAGGATATTATGATATAAAGAAATGCTTTTTATATTTTGTAGGTCTAAAAATTATTGTATAAAAATATTGCTTTTAATGATTATTTTATTGTTTGTATTATTAAAATTCTTTTTCAAACGAAAATAATAATTTAAGAAAAATGTGCTAATTGAAAAAAATTACGCATATTACAAAATTTATATATTATTATATAAAATTAGTATATCTTATAAAATACAATATGGATGTGCCTTAAATATTTGTGCATATGTACTTTAAAATATGATTATGAAATTTACAAGATATATTTTCAAATAAAAATATTTTCAAGCATAATACGTACTAAAAATGATAAAATAATTATAAATGTAAAAACCTTAGTACAAAAAAATTTAGTATTGCTATGGATTAATTTATTATACGTATATTGTATTTTAATTATTTAATAATTGATATCTATATAAGAGATAGAGAATTATTAATAATGATTCTTCATTATTAATCAGAATATTATTTTTTCCGCATAATTATTTTATAAAACATGTTAATAAAAAATAAAAAATTTTATATTATATGCATAATTTTGTTTCTAATTGGCACACTTTTTTATGCTGTAATGTAATATATATATATATGCATAATTTTGTTTCTAATTGGCACACTTTTTATGCTGTAATGTAATATATATATATATATATATATATATATATATATATATATATATATATATATATCAATACGAATCAATTACAACAAGACTATATAAATGTATTCTGTTTGTCATTACAATAATTTCGAATTGATTGACCAATTAGATTGACGAAAGATGCAATGATTTCCATATTCTGATTTGTTGGTCAATCATATTCTTTGATGTTTTTGTAACATCAAACAGAATACACCTATATATAAAATACAAAGAGTAATATTTTAAAAATCTTTTTATATGGAATTTTTTTCTTTTTTCCTCACTTCTTCTCTAGTTGCTAATGAGGACAATTACTGATTATTAACTCAACATTTAATAATTTTCCCATTTTATCGAAAAAAAATTTAAATAAATCATACTGATAACTGTCCATTAAATTACGGCATGATTGATGCCGTAAGTAAATTTATTTATTTATTATAATAAATTATAATTTCTTAATCTTGTATATGTATATGTACTTAAATATATTTATAAAACCGGTAATGTAATTTGCAATTCAAGGTTTTTTTATATGAATAACTTATGCATATGTACGATTATATGATTATAGATTTATAATTTATTATTGGTATTATAATAAATAAGTAGATTTATTTTATTATTTTATTACTATATTATACTATCTAACATGTCATTTATATCGGTTCCAGAGTGCTGCTTAATATATAGCGCCTCTAAATAGTGCAGATTTATGATGAAAATTACATAAAAATGTTTATGTGTGAGAGTATACTTATATCTCTTAAATAAAAAATTTATATATAATATATATTTATTATATATATATAGTATATATAATCATATAAATCTTCCAAAATCTATGAGTCTATTTTTTGTAGTAATTGTTTAATTTTAGAGAGGCTAATGGGCGATTTTATTGACTGTATGAGATTTCAATACTATTCTGTAACTGGGACAGAATGCTGAAGATTGATTTAAGATTAATTTTAAACTTTCGCGAATCTGATGTCAGATACATAAAAATAGGTGTTCAAATTTTTCGCTAAAAATATCAAATAAAGTAAAATGCAATTATCATTTACACAACGCAAAATAATGTAAAAATACAACGTTAATATTGAGAATAAATCCTATACATGAGAATCTTAACCGAATATCTAAAACATTAAGCATCTTTACGTTATCATAGTGATATAACAGTTTTGCATTTCTGAAGTATTGTATTCTATTTAAAAATATTTATTAACATCTTTCTTTATTTTTGTTTGTGTTTTATAATCATTGGTTCTTGTTGAATCGAACATTTACCATTTTAAATTGGTTTTCGAATGGCAACATCGATTAATATCCGCCCGCAATTTGTCATACTTAAGATATTCTTGCATCCCTTACTAAAGTCATATCAAATTATCAGAAGCGACAAGTCGTTCAGATTTTTATCTTGCGAAATATACGTCAAAATAAATTAGTTTTCTTCGTACGTCTCTATTCGCCTGTTTGATAGTATAGATATAAACTGAAAATAAAATATACCAAAGATTCTCATTTCAAAATTCGTGAATTATTAATAATTTAGTAATTGTGTTTTAAAGCCTAATTTTACTGTAAAGAAATGTAAAAAATATTATAAATATAGTTATATATAGTTATAATTATAGTTATAAATATAGTTATAAAAATATGCACTTGGAAATGAATTATATATGCATTTATTAAAACATAATAAA